GGGGAGCGGTGCCTGGCCGCTCCCGCCCGCCGTGCGGCCCCTCGGGGCCCGGGCCTGGGAGCTCGGGGTGGGAATTGCAAGAGTAACCGGTTGCCTTCTGCTTCCTCCCCAGACGCGAAGAGCAGGCTGCGGCAGGTAACCGAGGTAGGCTGCTGCTTCTTTTGCGAGCGCGGTGCTCTCCCCGGTACCCCAGGGCGTCATTCCTGTGCTAAAACTGCAGTCGGGGAGCACTCGGGTACAGAGACCCGTTGAAAGTCTGAAACTTGAACAGACTGGACAGATTGTCTCTCTCCAAGGAAAAATACCTGAGGAAAAGTCAAAAGTCACATTTAATCCCATTCCTGTGCCTTTTCCTAAAGTTGTTTGCTGTACAATGATTTCAGTTAAAATCGCCCGAGGTGTTTAAGGAAATAATGGGCAGGGGTTATAGTAGAAAAAGCAAGCATTAGCAGAGGGAGATTATTATTTAGCATTTGTTTAAATTATAAAGGCTATTCCTGGATGGAGTTGCTAATTGACTTGATACTTATATATCATACTGTGATTTAATAGCATCTGTAAAAAAATAGGTAACTTTTTTCAAATTCTGAACTAGAAAATCAAGAATCTGGAGTGTTTGCGAGTGCTGTTTCCTAGCCCTCTTCAGCTGTACTTCAGTACTTCAAAATACTTTACCAAAAAGTGGTTGTTTGGCTTATTTTTAAACAATTCTTTCATACATACCTCACGTAATTATAGAGCTGGATGGTGTAACTGTTACTTTTTCTTCCTTTTATTATTGGTTTTAAAAAAAAATCTGTTGGCATAAACCAGAGATGAGCTCAGGGTGATGCTTTGAATACTCAGTCTCCATAGTGTGTATTTAACTGTGAGAATGAGGCTGGGCTTCCCTTTTTATGTTACTCGCAGCTCATTGTGTCACATCGATGTCTGGTGGTGAACCCAGTTTTGTGCTGTTGATGGCAAGGCAGGGGGAAGCTGGCAAGGGGCACTTTGGATGGCTGCCCTGAGGCCTGCTTTTTCCTCTCCCAGCCCTTCTGTGAGGGCAATGCATTCTAGCTTTTCTTAGTCAGAGCTTCTGAAAAATGTCTGTTGGACTTCACTAAAGACATTTTTCCCAGCCAAAGTGTTATTTCATTCCTGTTCCTCTTTCACTTACCACCTCTTGATTCATAATGCTTGGGAAAATTTTTCTGCTTTCCATTAAATTTACTTTAGGTAAACGCTGTGGAGGTGGGGCTGTGAAGCCACGACAAGGCCAAAGGCGGGTGAAGAAGGTCAAGCAGAGGAAGGCAGCCAGGTACGCTGGGAGCAGAGGAGCTGCAGAGGGGCCACGGTGTCTGTCCCCATGGCAGCAGTGCTGCTGAGGAAGGGGCATCCCTGCAGCTGTTCTGTCCCTGTATGGCCCAACACTCTTTTTTCCTTTTGTGTTCCCCTTGCCCTTCCTCTGACTGAAAGTGTATTTTTGTGGTAAAAGCACCTTTGATATGCTTCTTGCCAAATATATATATACCCATACCCACACATATATAAAACAATTACAATACAAATGCTGTTTATATATGATGTATATATAGCTGGGCAGTCATGAGCACAGCAGCAGACCTTGTGACATGCTGCTACAGGTTGGGTTTAGCACCAAATTCCTGCATTTCAGTCTTTTCTTTTTTCTCCTGTGTTTCATCACTGATGTCCCCACAGGGCAATTGCAGTAGCTCCTGCTAGGACTTAGTTCAAGACCCCTGGGGAGCTACTCAGGGTACATAAAGGCATGATGACAGCTTGAGAGTCGTGGTCCTATTTTTTTTTTCTAATACTTATACAAATCTTGCTGAGCACTGGCTGCTGTTGTGCTCAAGTAGCAGAGCACTAACTAGTGTGTCTTGTTCTGGGTGTAACCATGCTGCAGGGATTTACATCTTTATTTAAGTAGGACAAAAGGAAACTATACGGCAGTATGCTTAAAAGATCAGAGTTTAACAAGCCTCCACCAGCAGCTTGCCAAAGACTTTTTAAACACTCATCTCTACGGACCAGACACCAACCGGGCACAGGGTAAGCCCTTTTCCTTAGCTGGGTCTGCATCTAGGTTTGTATGGGTTAAATTTATTAACTCACACTCACTCATCTCCATTTCAGCAAATGATTTTTTTTCCATTGAAAACAAGAAAAACCCAGTTAAAAAAGCTGCAGTTCAGTTTGTGGACAAATCTTGGGGTGAGTATGAAAAGTAAAAGGAGGTACTACTATCTGCATATGTGGTGTAACACACACTTGATGGGGGGGGAAAATAAAAAAAAAGCTTTCCCATGTTACTTGTGACCTTCTAACTCAGAGAACCGGATAGTAAGGGTTGCTACAGCCTGAGGGGGTTGTATTACATGCTGCACTGGGGAGGGTGTGTGAGCCAGAACTTGAAAAAAATTCATTTTTGTTGAAGAGTGAGCATGTTTACTTGATGAAATAAATACTTTGTTTTAGCTTAAACCTCTGAGCTGTTGGCAGTTATTTCACATTTGTAAAATGTAAAGTGGGGATGCCAAGATTCCAGAACTTGTGTGTGAGCACAGGGCAATGGCACCTGTTTCTCCTCCTAAAAACTGATATTACAGAAATGAATGGGGACAGACTCATACCCACATCAGTTTCAGCTACACAAGCACAGTCTGAGGGGCTGGAGAGGCAAAAGTTGTTGTTCCTTACCAGGCAAAGTCAGCTTTTCAGTTGTGCATGAGCAGTGGGGGCAGGGCTATACCCCCACCACCCTCCCTCTGAAGGAGGTGGGTGCAAGTTGGTACACCCAGCCTGTGGAAGCCCAGGTTGTAGGTAAGGTAGAACACTTACCAGCTTTCCAGTCAGTTTTGTTCTGGAATGCTGCAGTAAGCAGTGGATTGCTGCTTAGCCAGTACATGGGCTAAGGAAGTGGTAACTAACAGCTGCTTTTTTTTTTTCTCTAAGGGCAAGAAAAAAAGGAGAAAGCAGCAAGATTTAAGAAACGCTGGCTCTCAACACAGATTAAAAATTGAGTATGGAGACAGGTTTTTCAGAAGATGCTATTGAGGACTTTTTTACTGCATGTTAAGTCTCTGTATACAACAAAGGTGTTTTTTCCCCACTTTCCCAGCATGGGTCTGCTTTCAGCTCTAGCCAGCAGCAGGCACTGACCTTCACTCAGCTGGGCCTGAACTGACATTCCTGTTCTCTTCCCTCCCCCCTTTGTAAGTGGCCAGGGAAGTGAAGCTGCAGCTGTGCCAGGGCAGTGCCTGCCTGTCCCTGATGCAGAGCAGCTGGTGTTACCACCAGGCTTGTGGAGCTGCCTCCATGAGGCAGCTCCTTTGCAGACAATAAAGAAATACAATGTTGTACTTACTGTTCTGGATGGTGGTTTCTTACAGCAATGCTCCTGCTTTTTCAGTTACTTGTATCTCTGAAGAAAGGCTGTGTTAGAATCTTTAAGGCAGCTCAGCCTACAGGGCCCTTCTGTCCAGCCTGATGATTACTTTCAGGGAATAAGGTGTTTTCCCCCACCTTCAGAGAGCACTAAACAAGCTTCCATCAAACTTGCCAGGGTGCCACTGGCATGTGCTGACACAGGGCAAGGGCAGCCCCAGCAAGCCTCAGCTCCCACAGCAGGGGGCTGTGTGAGAAGCAGCTCAAGGGTAGAGCTAATTCGAACCAAGAACGTAGCATATGAGTCCATGCTACCATGTATGTAGAAGTAAGTTTTTAATGGCTGGTTAATTATGATATCACTACATTTTATTGCAATATAGTACTATTTAAGCACTTTTAAAAATGCAAGGTGTACAAAGATTAAATTAAGACTGTAAATTGACTAAATATTTGGTTTTTATATAAATAGGTCATAACCACACTGTGTTGACATGTAATACTGTTATAATACAACAGTTAAACTGGTGAGTCTACACAACAGAAGCTGTCTGTAGTTAAACAAGGAAACAAAGTTGAAAAGACCATGTTAAAACAAAAAACTACTAAGATCAACAGGTTGGGATTGTAAGTAGCAACAAACATATTCACTCAGCTCCTGAGTAATTCAAGTTTTACAGTACACATTAAAAAATATCATTTCTTCCCATCAACACTATATATCCAAACCATCGGGTGTTTATGCATTTTGCAAATTACACTGATTGAACTATGTAACAATGGGGGTGGAGGTTGGCAAGTCATCCTGCTGGACGTTTACATCACCCACCTGCTAATACATCCATGTTTTCTCTTCTTCTGCCCCACCAGAAGGTAGCAGGATTTTTGGTTTGTTTTGGACAATCGTTTATAGAATTGGTACTTGTCAATTTGGATGTCTGACATTATCAGTGATACTTTCAACTCTTAGTGGTCTAAGAGGTTTAAAGATGGAAATTTTCTCCTAACACTAAGTTAGAAATCATTTGCATCATGCTGTAAACTAGGAAGCAACATAAAGCGACAGACTTGTCCTTAGTACATAATTAAAATTCCAAATTCCAGTCAGCAGAGCTGGTCTACTTTCCACGTTGAGTATGCCACACCACCTTTGAGACCCCCGAATGCATAGCTAGTGTAGGTAGTCTTCCACTGTGGCGAAGGCGCAGGAGCCAATTCCCGACCGAGCCATCAATCCTAGACACTGCGATGCTTGTCCCATGGCCAGGGCAAGCGGCGGTTGCTTTGGCAGATTGTGAGTCTCTGAAAAAGAATCACAGTTAAAACACCTAACTTCATAGTACTGCACTGAAAACTTCAAGGTTAACCCTACTTAAATCACTCATTTCAAAATTCCTGTTTCCTTGCAAAGTTTGCTCTTACAGCATTACAGAGCAGGGGGGCAACCAAGTGACTTTCCCATTTGCTGCACATCACTGTTATTGAACGGACCCATTTTTGCTTTGAATGATGACATCTCCTACGTTACTGCCCCCCTGAAGCTGCCCCTCTTTAGTAAGCATGCGCACCGGCACGCTGCTGTACTTGGCCGCAGAGGCCCACACGCGAGGCAGGGCAGGGGCCTCACCTACCGAGTATTGCACTATTGAGTACAGAGCAGACGGGTTCTCTTTGTATCGGGTCGAGCTGATTCCCAACAGGGCTGCTCCAGGGATCTGAATAGGCAAGTAAACTGAATGCATCCTGTGGAAAGAGGGGTTTATTACATCTCACAGCTACCTTCTGCTACTGAAAATGAGTATTTTCTTCAATCGTTTTGATTCAGAATCACAGAGGAGATTGTCAGTGTCCTTCAACAATACAGAAAGCGTAAAAACAAATTGTAACAGGACTTGTTCCATTTTGAGCAAGCAGTGTTTTTCCCAGTAGAAAGACAAAAGTTAGCAGTATTTTAGAAAGTGATGGGGAAAGAGAAAACAGACTGAAAATCACATGCAGTCTGTCTTTGGCAGGGGAATGCTTTTCCAGAGCAGTCACAAATCAAGGTAAACTAATTAAACACAGAGTACTAAAGAGAGTACACTTTAGGCAGCTGTATCAATCCTCTTTCTTGCATTTCATTTATCATTAGAGCTGAAAATGGCACTTTGGTTCAAGAGGCCAAGCTACACAGTCAGAAAAGAGATTAGAGAGAAGTGCTAAATTCATCTCTGGTTTTAACTGTACTACAATGTAAGGTGAGTTATCTTCCCTGTGAACGTGCTGCACAGACAAGACAGCAGACAGTGTGACACCACAGCTGGCTAGAATACTGCTCTTGGACAAAAAAAAAAATCATCACAAAAGTTAAAGCAGCACAATATTGCAGTGCCACATGCTCTGGAAAGCTTCTGCTGGGTAGCACAGTTATTCACCTTGTGGTTATTCACCACAATTTCAAGTTTAAACATACCTTGAGCATTTTCTTATTTGCTGTGTTTTTGCCACATTCTCTTCTTAGTTGCTCACTCATTGCTTGCAATTCTCTTCCAAAATGGATCATTCTCTCAATAGCCGCTTGGCTGCCACCACATAGCTGACGTCTTAACTGACTTGAATCTACTTCTGCAAAAATGATACTGTCATCATCACCACTAATAGAGCTGACAGTAACCATCTATGGATCTAGAGAATTTGCACTGATTTCACTCAAAAGACAACCGCCTTCTCCAAGAGAAAGCATGTCAGGCCAGAGACCCTGGCATAAAACACTCCTATAGCAAGCATGGGTGAATTGCTCCTTTATAAACATTAAGACACTTAGCTAACAGCAAAGGCTGTCTACACACGCTGTTTGGTTTGCAATGGTTAATTTTACTAACTAGTCTGTAAAACCAAATTTTACCCTAAAATTTTATTGGAGTTTAAAATTAGTAACAGCAGCAATAGAAGTTCACGCAATTGCACCTTTTTAATTCTTTGGCATTGCAGTTCTAAAGATTTGCCAAATCCAGAACCACTAATAGAGGGTAAAAAAAACCCTTAACTTCCCAAACAACCACAATAGATGTTGCTACAAGATGATCATTTAGACTGTTCATACATATACCTTGTAGAATATATTAGCTTAATAATTTGGACATTTCAGGCTTCTTTTGTAATCAAGCAAACACTACAATCAATTTCTTTACTGTTTGCTACAATATTCCGCAATACCAGTGATTTTAAAAGGTATTAATGTAGTTATGAACAGTAAAGCAACCTGTGGCTTCTCTGAAAGTTCTGCTTTTTAAATTTACAACTAAAGCAACCTGTAAAAAAAAAAAAAAAAAAAAAAAAAAAAAAAAAAAAAAAAAAAAAAGGGCATTTATCCATTCCTTGCCCTCTTTCCTTAAAAGAATCAAGTTTTGAATGAGAATTCTGATGTACGCTTTGATTACAAAACCATTCTTTCTGGTTTTAACATTGCCACCTAGTGATGTGTTTTGACCACTATTTCAAACTAGGATCCAGAAGTGGCCATTTTTATCCCACCCCCCACCCCCCCTCAGATGCAAGCATATCACCTCTGGAAAAAATCTGCCCACTTAAGATCACATACACAACACTAAGGAGAATACATAAATATTTCATAAAGCAAAAAACCACCAAAGAAACCACCAAGCTCAAACTGTGGGGAATAAACAATGTAGGCTGAGGAGCCACATTTCTTTTTTACGAAGGTGAAGCACCCACAAGTCTTCAAGCAGTGGCGTTTGTTGCTAGCTGCAGCTCAATCTAGGACAACACTTTCCAAAGGCAGAAAAGAACTACATTAAAAAAACCACAAACAACTCTGCGCCCTGTGCAGCTGTTTCGTGTCTGTCACAGCAAGCCTCTGTGGAAAAGGCTGCAAGAGAGTAAAGAAGTATTTTGGTTTTTTCTGTCACAGAAACGAGGCCTTGATATTATCCAGTTTCAGAGCATAATACAGGGAAAACAATCTTGGCAATTTGCATCTCCCCCTCCAGGGCTGTAACAGAATGATATTTGCTTTTCGACAGTTACCTAGTATTTGCCAGCGAAGCTGCATGACCAGCAGCAGCCGCCTCAGCACACCCCCTCAGAACTGCGAAGTGTTCCTACGTATCTCCAAGTGCCACTGCATTCTGAAAGGTTACCATGAATGATGTCCCAAGCTTCACATTTCATTTAAACTACCTATTAGTTGATGTGTGCTTAAATCAATTCATTGGAAAGTTTGTTCTGCAACTGCAGAAACGGCTGGCCTGGATTCCTCCACTTCTTCAGACAGGGCCAGCACAATCACCACTGTCTAAGCTCCAGCCTGCAGTACTGAAGTGATCTGGCAGCCTTTACTCGATGGGGACAGTCACCACCGTAACTGACAGAGTTAACAGCATCTTCTTATGGCGTGCTGGCAATCAGAGGGTATTTAAATACTCATTTACCCCTAATGGCAGCAGGTATGACTGAGTATAAAGCAGGTTAAATAAAACAAAGTTATTTTTCAGACCACAACTATGTAAATCAGGGCATTTTTTTGGTGGAAAGCATTAAACATCTCAGTTCCCAAATATAGTTCTTTTCGTGAGCATTTAATACTAGCACTTTGCATTCTTTAATATAAGCGATTTTGAATTTCTACTCTTACTATTGAGCACAAAGATGCCATGAGAACCATGAATGGTAAGAGGACTAGGGGAAGAGGAGAGGCAATCTGCCACCCCCAACCCAGGCATGCTACACAACAGGATGTTTTTTCTCCAAGGTACTCCCTTCAAAACCAATGCTACTTTCAACATCTGTGAGTTACCAGTTTCCCCTGTTCTCCCCAGACACTGGACCACCTGAATCAGTAGTTATAAGATTTACATCTAATCACAGCAAAAACAGCAAACAAAACAAAAAAAAAGATATGAGCTAGTATCCCTAATTTTCAAGTTGGGAAGCATTGCAAGTAAAAACATAACCTTGTTGCCATCACTTAATAAAAATGTAAGAAATATCACTGCAGACCCATTTCTGTGTCACATTCTTCCATTTCGTGATCATGTTTAGAACTACCATTTAGGAAGCCATTGGATGAAGTCTCAGCAACCCCATTGGAGTAGTGATCTGTTTCCATGTCTACATCATTGCTG